TTGTTTATGTTTGTGTTTATGTTTATGCCTTTGTTTATTTTTACATTTAAATTTGTATTTGTGTTTATATTTATATTTACGTGCGCTTATTTATATATACATTAACTAATCTACAAGCATTTCCTCACTGGCTTTTTTTTTATTTTTCAGTCTGCATGCTTTTTTCCTCACCAAACTGTTAAGCAGTTTTGTCTTTTCTCCCCCAGTTGTACTATTTTATTATCGCCATGATATCCTTTCAAATGTTTAAGGTTAGGCATCCTAGAGTTGAATACAATAGCCGAAATAAGTAAACTATATTTCGCTAAACCAAAGTTTATTGTTTGTTCGTTCTTTTATTTCCCGTATATAATAGTTATTGTTTTTCGAAGTTTATTAGTCGCGTTAGACATGTGTTTATTTGAATGCATTTGATAAGAGAAATGTGGCTTTTACTTTTGTTACTTTTATCAGCTCTCGTCAGCATGTATCAACTAATTATCAACTCGTCGTCCGTTAATGTATTTATTTCAAAACCAAATACAACCAAAAAAAAAAAAACTCGATAAATTCAGCTCAGTTTGACTAAACTGAATTTTTTTTCACACAGATAATTTATTGAGAAGTTTAGAAAACAAGACTTTATCGTTTAGTATTTAGACAGTAGTCTAGGTGAATCCTTATAATAGAACGTTTGTTATTTTTAAAAGTTTTTGACATTCCTTCAAATTTTATCCGATATCGGTTTCGTAGACATAATTTCAGCAATGTTGCAAATAAAGTTGAAAAAAAAATTAGTCAAGTAATGAAAAAAACTGGTTTTTACAGTTCAAACATTAACTGTTGCAGTCAATGTACGGTCCCGAACCAGCAACGGTGTTCCACTCGCCCAGCTCTAATACACTCAGCAGAATGTTATCTGGATTTACGCGCGATTGGGCGGGTCGAGCATAGGATATTGCTGAATTAATATATTTTCAAACGGGAATTAAGAGACAAATTTACACCTTATCCGGTGTCAGCTGAATTGGTGCAATAATTGACGATGATCTTCACACTGTCTGCGTGAAGATTTTTATGACTATACTGCAGTAATAGGATAGATAATCGTTTTTTTTTCTTAAATGTCTCGCTACAGACAGAAGACTACAAACGTATAATCCCTTGTCTTCCACTTGTTTAGCTCTCTTCTATTCCAATGAGTAAGACGCAGATGAAAAATTTTTATACCATATCTAATTGGTAATATAAATTTTCTATCAGTTTTCCCTTTTTTCTTTATAATATTTCTTTTTTTTTTAAGGCTAACAAAATAGGACCACACGTTTTTGAAAATAAAAGAAGGAAAACATCCCAGTTTTTTTTTTATCTTTGCACTTTTTCTTGTCTGTTTTTGTTAGCGTCAATTAGTTGTGGTGTTCTCAAATTCAGCAGGGTAATACTCTCCTAGCCATAACAGCAGTGATCGTCAATATCTAACACCAAATAAGCCAAAAAAAAAGAAAGTAAAAATAAGAAGTATAATTAACAAAGTAAATCAACAAAACAAAAATGAGCTATTATGCCTATTATACTATATAAACAATTATTGCTAAACTTAGTCTATGTATAACTAAAAGCAAAAAAAAAAAAATTTTTTTCTTTTTTATTTTCACAACCTCTAACAAATTTATTGTTCAAGTATAACACATAAGAATAATAATCTGCAAAGACGACTACAACTAGTTGCTAGATTTTATTTATAATGAACCCTCCATTAAAACACGATAATAGCATTGGTAAGCAATTGATTATACTGTCAGATGAGCACAGTTCTACGCAGCAATTGTTTTACCTGCCTATGTCTAAATTTTTTCGTTTTTTTTTCCCCATTTTTTGTGTGTGCGTGCGTGATTGTTCTTAATAGAACAAAAAAAAAGTTTTTTTTTCACTAAGCTGTACAATTAAGATGCATTCAAGTTAATAAATTTTTTCAAGCTATCCACGTGTCGGCAAAACAAAGCTTACAGCTTGAATATGAAAACTGAAGAATTTTTTTTTGCTTGATTTCATCTTCTTTCCTTCCCAGAAAAGCAACAGTATCAGCATTGTATTTGTCAAAAGTTTCTTGGTGACCAACGACTACTTTATTTTTGGACAAGTTAATGCTGTTAAACCACTATAAAAAACACTATTAAAGCATCAGTAATCTGAGAATTCCGTAATGTTTGTACATATAAAAAAAAAAAGAAGGAAGCATTTGTAGTTTAATAATTTACCAAATATTAATTTTAAAAAAAAACTTATGATTTGTTTAATCGCTAAAGAATTCGTATCTCAATCAATACACTAATGAAAAGAAAAAGAAAAAAAAGACATTAACTGCTAGTTTTGCGGAAGATTTCATCTGGTTCCCTGAACAAAATTGCTGTTATTGAAACCAAAAGAATCAGGGAATACAAAACTGCATATTACGACATTTATTCCCTGAAAAAAATACGACATACCCAGTTGATCAACCACAAAAGTTCTGACGCCTGTAAAACGTCAGAATTATTTTCCAGCGCATTAAAGAGGCAGTGATCACCAATAAAAAGTTTATCTACAACCATAAAGCATGGAGCAGATTAATAGCACTAACATCGACAATGTCTTTGGGTACATTCTGAGATAGCAGAAGGATGAAGAACAGTAATTTCAAAAACTAGCAAATTTTTTTTACTGTATGAAAACTACTCCATAATCAATTTTCTTTTTGGCTTCCTCTTCACTATTACTTAGTTTTAATGTTAAAACCAAATTTGGTGGAAAGAAATGAAAAAAAAAAACGCCTGGACCAGTTGTTAGCAATATCACCAGATCTAAACAGTAAAAAGTCATGTATGCCGTTCACAAATTATACAATTCTTAATACGGACTGGTGTCAGCACCCTGAAAATACGACAATATACTCGGCGTTTAAGGTCTTCTTCAAATACTCCAGAATCCATTTCAGCTATCGCCTCCCACAACACGAGCTACTTTTCTTTTCTGTCAGTGTCACACCCGTACTCTTCACTTCAACATCTTCGGTTGCCATCAGTTCCCTAAAATTGTTACCCTCGTTCGACTAAACAAACTTAGTATTTTGCTAATGCCACAATTTCAACGCTATTTTCAAGCGGTTTAACACGCTATACAACTATTAACAAGCCATAAATGTAAGAAATCAAGAGGAAACCAGCAATGCACCTTGCCAAAATGAAAAAGGCATTGTCCACGTTAGATCCGTCTAGTGCACTACATTCGGCAAAGATTACGCCTAAAGCCTAAAGGTAGACACATTTGAGATTGCAACGAACGAAGTTGATGCTCTGAATAGCAAAGTTCAACTTAAGTAAAGCCAAAATTCCTTTCACCAAAATACCCCACAGCAAAAGGGCTCCTAACCTCAGCAACTTCCTCTCCATCTTTAGTAGTAACGCATCCACCACTGTTGCCTAGGCCTCTCCGTAGATCTGTTTTGTTACCACATAGCATAACAGGTATAGGTCTTAACGTTGACTCCTGAATTAATGAAGTTAAGTAGTCTTTAAAACTGAGTAAACAACAAGCCTTAACCTGATCAAAGCCTTACCCTAATGATATCAATCCATTCACGAACACGAATAAATGTTCTTTCGGAAACACAGTCATACACCAAGATAGCCCCATCTGCCCTACGAAAATAACTTTTGCAGAGACTACGGAACCTAAAAAAAACTGTCAGACTTATTTCTCCTAAATTTTAAAATAATTTATGATCAACTTTTAATCACTTTCTGTCCTCCCCTTATGTTTACTTATGAAAGAAATGACGGTATTAAGAAATGACTCTAATTGAACTGGCTAAATGGAGATACCAATACATTTGTTTTCTTGAATCGCCAGCTTTCGTTTTAAAGCAAAAACTGACAGAATGGTCTAATCATTGCATTAGTTCGCTACTACTGCTTCATCTCCTAGTTTACTTTAACATATCGAACAACAGGACAATACTTTCATTCACTTTTTACCATACATGCACAACAACATCTATCTTTCTATAGTGTTTTGCTTTTGGTAAACTAGCTTAAATGTTAATTTTTTCCAAGTTTTTAATAAACTTTTCTTACTGAACAATGATTAGGTCAACCTAATCAAAAGAAAAAATCTTAATTAATTCGGCGAATGAAAAGGGAGGTTATCCATCTATTTTTCAAGAAACTACTTGCTGTGAAGTTTATTGTTCATCCTACACAGATTCCTGACTTGGAACAGTTGTAGCCACATCACCATGTACTACTGCACCTTAAGAACTTACACTTCCAGTTGTCATTCAGCACTCCAATATTCTGTCAAAATTATGAATACTCAAGAATAAAGAGCGTACATAAGTTTCAATTAATCTTGATTCCACTAAAGTAACATCAACTGAACGACAACAGATACCTATGATTTTATTTTAAAGCTAAACTTTTCATTTTTGCGTTTAATATTTGTGAGAAATATTTTAAACTAAAATGACTAACTACGCAAGAAAATCGAGTAATAACAGCACTTGCTAGAAAAAAAAATACTGGAAGTGCATAATGCTCAAGAACATATTAATATGAACAAAAAATTAAGGCGAAATAGAACTTAGAAACGAAAACGATAGCAAATCGACAATGCGCAGCTGTTTAAGAAGATTTGATAGATTGATGATGATGGCACATAGGTGGTACATAATCTAGCAGATTCGCAACTTGCTGACTACTAAATGAAAATATACATATATACACCAACACACAATGGAAAAATCTGTTGAACATCTACCGTGAGACACAATTTCTGATTATTACGCTTCAACCTATCCAACAGCGTTGAGCGCGACAAAGAGGCCAAAGAAGATGCTACTAAGCCAAAAGAGAATAGAGCAAATCAAAGAGGAGACCAATAAAAGTCATTAATTAAAGCATTCAGTTTTACTTCTTTATTTTTGAAGAATTCTTGCTTTCCAAACAATTATGATTTAAAACTGTATAAAGATGTTAAAAACAAAAGAAAACAAGCAAAAATAGTTGCTGAACAGTTCCCTACCAAAATACCGAGAAAAAGGATGATTTAAAGACAAAAAATGAAAGCACCCTGAAAACAACTAACAATAATATAAGTTCACATAAAACTACGATCGTTGGCGTCGTATATACAGGACAGATGATGTGATACTACAAACAGAACCTTTTTTTTTTGAAATACGAGCAAAAACTGACAAAACTCAAGTGAAGTACTTTTGCAATGAGTTAAGATCACGCAGTTTAGTGCAACTGCTGTTATAATCTTTCACTCTGATAAAAAAAACTACTCAGCATGTCCATTTTTACCAGTGCACATATCTCTGACACTTTTTTGAACAAAAAAAGAAAAGTAATTACAACAAGCATACCGTTCCTGACCAGCAGTATCCCATAGCTGAACTGCAACTACTTTGCCTTCAATACGGACAGTTTTTACATAAAAATCAACGCCTGTAATGTGGCACCGTGTGAATAAACACTATCGACAGTGTAAACTTCGTACAAAGAAAACCTCTTAAAGCGTCATAAATTTCCAAATTGGAACACAAAGTCACCGCAATAGTTACCAAGCGTGCTCGGTAAGCTTCCACTGAACGACCCTTTAATAATCCTATATACAAGCGAAGATTTCCCTACCGCAGCATCACCACACATAACAATACGGAATGTCCTTTCCGGAGTACCACTAGCATTTTGAAACGCCTTAAGGACGACTATGAACAAACATCAGAATGCTCAATTCTATTCATAAACATATTTTAACACCACGCTATTACTTCTAAAAAGTTTCATTATAACTTAGTGTTGATAAATTTTAGATCACCTACAATATCTTCACTTTCAGACCGTATATTTGAATCCCGTGGATGCGGTGAATTTAGGCTGACAGCGTATTCCGCATCCTTATGAACTTCTTCAGCACTTGAATGCATAACTAAATTCACCCAATTTCACTCTACGGTTTAGCCTTACTAACAAAAAATTGCAGTAAGAAATAATAATTTTACGCAAATTGTGCATGCACATCCATTGAAAGTTACCATTTCTAAGAAGAGCAAGTATAATTGTAAAATTTGCTCTGTTCTTTTTTACTTTCTTATTTTAATTTCATGTTAAGTTTTGAATGACTAACGATCCAATCAATTAACCAACTCTGATGTGAAATTTGTCGTTCTTCAGAAGGCAGTATTTCAGCGACCTCTGGAGAATGCTGCTGCAATAACATAGGTGGCGGAACAATACGTGGAGCACTAAGCTAAAAAAAAATTTTGGTTACTCTAGAACTAAAAAACTGGAAACCGCCCTATGAAATCTTTAGCAGTTTGCACTGACTTTCTTTTAAAATTTTTCTATTAAACAGAAATTATCATATCCCTACCGCAGTTGCTTTAATGTTCGCTTACTCTTCTGATCTGCTTGTAAAGAACGTTACGCTGGCTCAGCGCTCCTCGAAGGCTATCGTTGGTATCGTGCAACTTTTTATTCGCGTCACTAAACTAAAAAAAATTAACAGATCTTAGTTGCAAACAAAAACTGCTGGACCTCAAAAACAGTCTTCTGTAAGCGCCAAACAAAGTGACAGCAGTAGCGTACTAAAGCAGCTGCAACTGTCGTTGTAGATTCTGGCTTTGTTTTTCGGCTTGCATTATTACTTCCGTGTCGCTTAGAAGCTCTTCCTTAGTTGATTCATACTCAGATTTCACGTTTAGTAGTTCAGACTTAATCAACGCTAACTCAATGTGCGAATCTGCTAAATTTGTCTTCAAAGATTCATTTTCGTCCGATAGCTCCTGAAGTAAAAGAAAACTGCCACTTATTACGATCAAGAAACACTTTAGTTGAAGGCAGTGAATAATTATGCAATGTACGAAATAATTTGCCGAAAATGATGCAGCGTAAGATTGGATAAAACGTGCAATTATAAAAAGCTCTGAAGTTTAAAAAAAACTAAAGCATTAGCTGTAAGAGAAGAACTCATCAAAACCAGTCAGACTGGTCAAAGTTTCGCAAACAATGAATGACTGATAAAACATAAGAAAAGTGGTTTAAAGAGATTGCAAACAGCACCAGTTCAAACCTTCAGTAATATTCAGAAAATATTTTTACGAGCAAACTTATAAAAAATCTTAATTTTATGACCCTTGGATGGCTCCTGACACAATCGTTTCAAGTTTCTTTTTTTTTTTTTTATAATTGACAACGCTAAGCGGTACTAATTTAATGTGGTAACAAGCCTTGATCAGTCAGCAGAAGCACTGGCAAGTGTTCGAGAGAAATTGTTTTCTAAATTTAGCTCACGTACTTTTCACCTAACTCCTCTTCCTCATCAAAACAATTCCACTCAACTGTTAAAAGCAATCGCTGTTGTGTCAGAATGTCGTTCGCCTAAACAAGACTTATTTCTCTTCGCTTCAAATATGTACTCGCCATTTGAAAAATTCTTAAGCTATAAAAGCAGGCTATTGCTCTTTCTGCTTGAAAAAAACTTACAAAAGCCAAGTTCCAAATAAGAGGACCTACTGATAAACAGAACTCGAAAAAATAGGAAGTAGTAAATAATCAGTTCTCTGAACACAAATAGCAGCTGATGCAGTTAAGAACTGAAGGGTATGAGGGGTTAGGAAAAATCCACTACCATTTGATAACCATTTGTCTATTACCATTTCTTTCCCAACATAAAAACTTTCGCGATGACAAAATACTATAAAAAACCAATCTGATTCACAGAACAATGGACCAACTTATTGTCAGTCAATTTTTAACGCAGATAATATCAGAATTAAAAAGTTCCTCTGTCATAGAAAAAACACCTTTAGCTTGGCCTTCAGCTCTGCAGTTTGATCAGACTTACACCCACCGGTGTCCAAACTTGCTTCAATTAATTTCATTTTTGCAATATTTTCTTTCAGTTCATCCATTTCGGCCTCTAGCTTCAATCTCATTTCTTCCTTCTCCCAAGTTAACCTTTTTTTTTCCTAAAAATAGTGCAAAGAGTTCAAGTAAAGAGTATTTCACACCTAATAAAACTAAGGTTTTACTCAAAAAACCTACAAGTCTCCTTCTACGGCAACAACAGGAAACTGATGCAGTTAAGAACTGAAGGGTACAAAGCTACAGTTTACAAAAAAGCTACACTTCTCTAATGCAACCACTTAGGAAAAGTTCGGCAAATATTAAGCAGCAAAAATTACTATACCTCCTCACGAATTCTCTGTTCGCTTTCCAGGATATGCTGGTCCATCTCACTTTCAACTTCTTGCATTCTTCGACTGTATAATCTACGTTCACTGAAATCAAAACGTACAAAGAGAAAAAAAGATTTAATTTAATTCAATAGTCTTATTCAGGTTATTGATTAGTAATGAAAAACTGAAGAAATTTCATATGGCAAAGTGTGACTATTTTTAGTGAACTGAACAGTTTTATTTTCTGCAGTAATTCTGAGCCCTCTGCTGTTACTTTTAATTTTTAGTACGATTTTTAGTACGTAATCAAAAAATCTCAATCACCTTTCATAAACATGTTGCAGTCTAAGGTTTTCGTCCTTACGATCTTTCAGTTCCTTACAAAAATTTCCAACAATTCTTTCAAATCTGGACAACATCTTACCCATCCCACACGACTGTAGTTGCTCATACAACTTTAGAACTTCTTCTTGACTAAAAGAAGACAAATAATATATTACCACGTTGATCAGTCTTCAAGCGCCAACTTAAAATTTGATAAACTAGACTGATTATCAAACTAGAAAACAGTACTACTAAGTTTCGTTTCACATAAAATTTTTTTGATTTTAAAGTGACTCTTACCATGGAATCGACAAATCGATAGGAATGGATGCATCAGACTCTGAATGATACACTTCCTCGCCCTGTATTAGGGCAGACGAACTCTGAATAAATGTTGCTGTTTCGCGCATAACTTACATTAATTAATGTCTGTTTACTTGCTAGTTTTCTTTGTAAAAAGTAATTGAGAAACAAGAGAACCAACCCTTCCAAAACTACTACTTTCAGGTTCAGAAATATTATCTGTTGAAAGAAAATTATCTGGATTACAAGAAGTGTTTGCTTCATCACTGCTATAACCTGTTTCATTTGACGGTGAACTAACACATAACGAGTCTAAAATGCAAACAAATTAAAAAGTACTGTTATCTTTGAAAAAAAATTAGGAAATATGCAAAGCAATGCGTTTATTGAAGAGAGGTCGTTCAATAAATTGTATGTTGTGATAGAATGTACCGTTTTTATTTTTTCTGCCAAGCGCATCATTAAAACCTTCAACAAATTCTTTACGTTCTATCTTTCCAGATCCATCTACGTCGAGTGTTTTGAAAACAAAGTCAATTTCCTGAAATTCCTATTTTTCTTCCAGACATGAACAAGCAGTTAATTATTGAAATACTCTATTGTAGCAACATTCTTAAAACCATTTTTTCAAGGTGTTAAAAGCACATTAGATTATAATTACATCTGAGTTCTCTAAATTTACAAGTCCAAAATTTTCAATGCTCCTCTAACTTTTATTGTCCTTTTTTTCCTTAGAACCACTGAAATTTGCCTACTTTTGAACAAATCGGAAAAAATTTGCTCTTACATCTAACAAAACAGTAATGTTTGTCTTCGTAGACTTTCAAACCGTGATTCGCAAATCCTTTGAAATTTTAAACGTCCTTTCAGACCTGTTCTGCTGATTCAATAACACTGTTTTAGTGCATCATCGAAAACAGGTCTGAGAAGATGAGAAAAATCATGAGGGATATTCCATAAACCGATAAAATCAAAGCCAAATTAAGCTTTGACTGTTCAGAAACATCAAAAGTCAACTAACAGCATGGCTGAGCTGCGGACAAGACTGTATTAAATCATCGACAACCAAATATCCTTTTTTCTCTCTATCGCATAGCTCAAACAACTTCTCTGTTTCAGAGACACAGTGTTCCATAGAAAATAACTAAACTAAACTGTTCATTAGCTACTATTGATTCTTATAATGTTAGGCGTTTTGACAAGAATCAGATACGAAGGCATAAGATCGGGGACACAGAATTGCAGATGACAATTCGACAGGAATGCATGCATCAGAGCAAAAAAAAAAATAATACTAAGAACTGTTTTATCCGAAGTAGAAAGAATAAGACTCCATTTATCCGTAAAATTGGAAAGAAAAAAGTCAATTATGAAGTAATAAAGTATCAAATCAAAAAGTAAACATAAAGTTTCTCAAAAAAAAAATTGAAGTGGCAAATGAAGAAATGAGGTGCTCAGAGGTAAATATTTGACAGCTTTATCTATAGGTAAAACAATCATAGAGTTCATCAATTAAGTGATACATGCATTTTTAAATTAGTTTTTTTCACTTTAAAAAAAATAGAAAGAAAAAAAGATAAGGTAGTTTTCTGACATATATTAATCATATTGAGTGACACCAGGTGATGTCCCAGAATTTAAAAAATTACGGTAATAATAATGACAATAATAATCAGTTGAAACTGTTCAATGATTAACTAAGCTACTCAAGCATTTTCTTAAATCAACCATTTGTGTAGCAGCTGTGAAGGAGGAGTTGAAAATTTTGACCAAAGCAGGAAATTAATTGAGCTGCCGAAAACTGCAGCGCCAGATGACTTAGTAGATGAGGTTCATTAAATGGAATAACCAGACAAATGATCAGAGTTACTTCTGTTCATCCAGAAACCCAACTACAAAAACAGACTATTTTTCAGAGAAAGCAGAAATCAGCAGCAGCAATTACTCAAAAAATTGTAAAACAAATTTCCGTTGTATACTGCCTAAAAAGAGGAAAAACTGCCATCATCGGAAAAAGAAAACGAAAAAAGGTTATTGAACCTAAAGCATGAAGTTGCGAAATTGTACAACGTAACAATCGCAATCAGAAACGTTTGTCCATGATATATCATTCGTAAAGTTTTTTGATGTCCCATATTTTTCCCGTCTATTTGTATAGCTTTGCCAGAAAATTTAATTGATCTTCAAATGGAACCCAAACTGCGTTTTTGTACAATCGATAAAACTGTTATTCAAATGATTCTGTATAACAATTGGGGCGTAAAAAATTTCTTCATGTATATGAAACGGGAGAGAGAGGGTAATAGAAAAAGGGGGCGCTCTTGTCACACGCTAACATTATGAAGCTTTTTTTCGGAAAACATGGATCGAACTGTAACAAGAGCGAAACCAAATGCAAGGAAGGCTGACGGCCGGTAACTCAGAAAACAAGGCATAGGCTGGATCACGGAGAAATGTAACAATATTTTTGAAGACAAGGTGACTGCTAAAGTACATATACCCTCTCGCTGAACAAAAATTTCCCACTTAGTACAACTTTGCTGACTCCGTCCTGTGCTTTTTGCTGCATTTACTGTATTTATTGTTGTTGTGGAATAAAATTAGAGTATCTGATCTCATACAGGCAGCCATAATCAACTTTTTTATAGCTGGTATAAGGAAATAATGGCCACAAGTTATAGCAAAAAAAAAATCTAGAATGCGTTTTGCAATATGATGCTTCCAGAGACTTCTTGTAGCACAATTGAAGGACGAAAGAAAAAGCTGATCAGATATAATGTCTATGTACGGCAATAAAACCACAAATGTACCGTTAATAAAGTATTGATGAAAGGCAAAAAAAAAAGAAAAAAAAAACATATTTTTTGCCAACACTACCATTTTTCCTTTCATTCGTCTCCTCTTGCCCTAATTATTCTGTTTCCGTTATTTATTAATATATCGTCTTCCTCTTTCCGTTCTCATCAAACATTTTGTCATTACTGCGTATCAACACACTTGTACGCTAGGATAATATAAGACAATGGCACTAAGACCACAGCTTTCATTGCTTTTGGGCGAATGTTAAAGAATTTTAAAGATATTGTCGAGAAGACCAGCAAAGCTCAGGAAGTACAAAGAAGGTGTACCAAACATTAAAGCGAAACCAATATTTTTCAGCTAAACTATTTCCTTCTCCGTATCTTTTCACATACCACCCCCTCTCCTCACATCCATCCCATTCCACGGTCTCTTTCACCTTATTCTCTGCTTATTCTCACGTTTTACCCCTACCCCCTCTCCCCACTATCCTACTCCCTACCCCCTCGCCCGCTATGGGAGCCGCTTCTGTATTTTGCTGCTTAACAAACAATTTCTCGTATATCAAGCACTTTACGTTTCCATAAACTTGCACTATTTAACTAATAATACGAAATTTGTACTTTAATACTAACTTTTCATATTTTTTGTTTACTTTATTATTTGCGTGAGTTAGGGAGAAGAGCGCAAAAAAAGAGGTATTGGCGTTTTAATTTTTTTAACTCATCCTCGTTGCAAGCCCATGTTTCTTTTTCTTCCTTCACTTAGAAAATTGTATTCTTTTATCTTTCTTTTTTTTTAATTTGCGAGACAAATGAATTAAAGATTTTGACTATTTAAATATCTTAAAAATGGTTTTAAAATTATTACAAAGAAGAGATGCTGGCAACTACAAGCACCAGAAATTTTTTTTTTTTTTTTTGAAATTTTTCGTGAAATATTTTGATTCTCAACAGCAGCTAATAAAGTAAAAGATTTAGAATGAACAAACTTGTTTGTTCATCTTTCAACTTTATGGCATTGACATCTGTTTACAACTTTTAACACGCGCTATTTTCCAATTGCTTAATTTTTCAGATACCTTTAGCTTTCTAAAAAACGTTAAACTGCTGTATAAAAACTAAAGAATATTGTTTAATTTAATCGGCAAGAAAAAAGGAACTGTTTAAAAGTTTGCGGCTTACCAGTATTATTTTTGAACACAAATCAAAATCTAATTTTTTTTGTTTTTATTGTATAAAATGTCAATAGAAAATTTCATCGAATAGTCAGTTAGCTGCACAACCTTATTTCAAGACACAAATTTAAGGTTGTAATTATAGAAGTTAAACAAGAGGCGAAGTGGTCGAGGTTTCAGAACGGTTGAGTAGACAGAAAAACGGTTTTTTAGTATTTTATAGAACAGGAGGTCGTGTTAAATGAGACTTGACCTACAGTGTATCATTTACTGCAGAACGTAAGCAATATATTATTGTACAGAAAGACGCATGTTTCTTAAACCTGTTTATTAAACCTTTCACTGGTAAAGCATTGAAGGAAACTACAGTAGTGAAGTTTGGACGGCTGCTGATGAATGCTCAGAAGCTGGAAGATGGTCAAAATTTATTCACACTATGATAATATCGTTAAAAGCAGTGAATCGACACTTTCAAGCACTTTCACTTCATTTGCCTTACAAATCATTGCTGCTGACAACCAAAATGGTTGAGAAAAATACACTGAAAACAATCACGTAGATCGTCGTCTAAAATTCGCCAACGCATACAGCACAGGAATACACTTAAGCAATACAATCTATTGCTCGGTTTCGTTTTTATCTAACGTAGTTTTGAACGTCAAATTTTGATGGCCGTTTTTCATTTTTTTTTTTTTTGATTTATTTGTGAAAGCCCACTTTTTTATTTTCGCTCACAATACTGTTCTGCAAATACCGAATACTTAATATTGGTCAGACAAGCATTTTGAAATTGGAAATTTTGTTTACCGAAGAAAAGCTGGTGTTGTTTGGCTTGAACTTTATCTAGGCAAAGCAAGTCAGATAGGCTCAGATCAAAGTACAACTTTTAGCAGACAATAATAAACTCTGATAAAACTAGATTGAAAAAAGGAGAAGAAATTACTTTTTTATTTGTTTTAATTATTTACAAATTTTAAGTTTCAATCTCTTTAAAGTAAGCAATTCTGAGTTAAAAATAAACAAATCAGAAAAAAGGAAGAGAAAAAACGGAGATCTAATTGTACTTTATAAAGCAGATAATCGGAAGACAACATTATATGTATATATATTGATATATATTTCTTGTTTATTTGATACAGTAGCTATTTAAAGTTTTTTAGCCTGCTAGTTGGTATCGTTTTATATGGATATTAAAAATATATATTGTAGTAGATTCTGATATATACCTATTAGACAGGCAATATAACGTTTTACATCACTAAAATTTACAGGTAATAAAAGCAATAAAAAAATAAGTAAAAGCTAACAGCACTATAAATTCCTTTTCTTGAGTAAATTATTTGTCTTCTTTTTTTTGCTTTACCTGTATTTCTTAAAAACAGAGAATAGTTTTTAGCTTATAAGTTAAAAAGTTATAATAGCAATTTGCATTTCTAAAATTTATTTAGCCAAAGTGTTATTCTGTTCTCATTTTCTTTGTCAGATAACGAATAGAAGAGCAACTAATGGTCATCATTTTTTTAACCTACAAGTTGCCGCCGTTGCCTCTACTAAATTAATTATACCAAATGTGACAACTGTTGTGACTGTTGTTGTCGTGTACTATTATTGTCGGTTTTATCAGATTCTGCTGCAGTGGAAATTGATGCTACCGTAGTGTCGCTGCTAGGGCGTCGATTGATGGCTGGTATCTGAACTGCAGAAACTGCTGATGGTGATTGAGTCATCGCTTCTTCATATGATGGCGGTACAGTTAATGCAGCAATAGGTACATTGCTGATATAGGTATTTTGATCATATCCTGCAAATTCTATTAGTGAATTACAAAAAAAAAAAAAAAAAAAAAAAAAAAAAAAA